CTCCCCCTGCATGGGCGGCCCTGTCGCCACCCCTGTCTTATCATAACTATGTACTTCAAATGATTTTTAAAGCCCTGTCTTTTTCAAGTAGATTTATGTCCCGAAAAAGTAAAAGACTTGATTAGAAAAGGTGATTAAATTATTAATTTACGGTATGTTATTTAATAACGAGCAAGTGTTATGGTAGGGATTAGTGTTAAGTTATAAAGTTGGTGTTTGGAATAGGGTTAGTGTAAAGCTTTGTTACGTTTTGTCATTCTGAGGCCAGCGAAATAACCTCTTACGCAACATGCATGCGTACGCGTCTACTATCGTCAAGAAACAATCAATACGTATAATCGTTGTGGTCTGTGGGATTTTAATGAGATCAATAGTGTAAACCTTGCAGTTTTAACACACATTAGCCGAATTCATATTAGAGACGGGAAACTCGTATTAGACGGGAAACTCGTCTAATATGAATCCGGGGACAGACGAGTTTCGCGTCCGAACTTTCCCGTCTAACTTACCGGTTTAAACGGACGGGAAGTTAGACGGGAATCTCATCTAGACGGGAAACTCGTCTTAAATTCGAATTTATCCGTCCCTAAATTCATATTCAGACGGGTTTTCACAGGCGAGTTTCCCGTCTAAAGGCCGATTTCCACTGTTGCGTTTTTCGTACGCACGTACACGCACGAAAAACTTTGAATCCTTCTATTTTTAAAAATTTTACAAATAAGTTAAGAAATGCATACTAAAACTTGCGGAACATTAAATTCTGTTGCTTTATTTACTTGGTTATTTCAAAAGGAAAATTTAAACGGATTTAAAGTTTTACGTGCGTATACGTACGTACGAAAAACGCAACAGTGGAAACCAGCCTTAAGACGAGTTTCACGTCCCTAATATGAATTCGGCTATTCAAATATAAGGCCTGGTAAACTAAAAATAAAAACTCCTTATATGGATAAACATTATAAACGTTCATTTCATGTACACGCACGCTACCAGCTGCTTAAGGGGATAAGTCCCTTCTGCGCATGTGCCCGGCGTTTGTTTATGTTTTGATACATTACACATGTTATAACATGAAGTATTGGCATTTACAACACTATTTTTTCAAACATGGCGATTGAAATGAGCGAAACTTTATATAGTTCACTTTGGGCCATTCCATTTATTATACACACCCCCCTATGGACGAGAATATCTGAGGGGGGGGGGGGGGGGGAAAAAGCCGTTTCTGAGGGGTTGTGTGCATCGGCTTCCTTTGATCTTTGCGTTTTTTCTGAGGGGTAAGGCAAAAATTTCTTAATTTCTGGGGGGGAGTTTGTGTCGGCACTTTTTTGATACTTTGATACGAGGTCAATGTTATTGACCTCGTCCATAGGGCGTGTGTACATTAAATGGAATGGCCATTGTTTGTGTGGTGGTGCCTGCTTTTTATGAGAAATATAGAAACTTTTGTCTTGTACAAGTTTGAATAATTAATACTTTTGAACCGCATAGGCGACATAGCGTGATAAACACGCCGAATCATGCATGAAGTATGATGAACCGACGAATATGAATTGCTCAATGCTCGATTGCTCTTTACTCAACAACAAGCTGACAATATTGAATACACAACAGTAAGTTTAATGGTTTATATGTTGTTTGTTGTTGATAAATTGATGTTTTTGCATGGATTAATCATATATGAGAGCTTATCTTTCGTATAAAATACTGCACAATTTATAAAATTGATATACGAGTTGGATAATATTTTAAACCAACGGCATGTCCTGGTTATATATAGCTAAATTCTTAAAGGGAAATGGCAATATATTTTTTTATTTTCTCGTTTGAAAGAACATTTAAAACTATATATAAAACTCTTTTACCGTTTTTTCATATCTTGCTTACTTCTACAAATATTTTAATCGAAAGAAATGAAATGTCCGCCATCTTGGATTTTTGTGGATATGCATGTTACGTCACAACAGGGGTCACGCAATATTTTTATCTAGACAATCACTAATCATTTTGCACTCAAAATTATACTCTGCATGCCATTGGAAATATCAAGATCACTTGAAACGTTTAAAACATCTACCAATCATTATTTGGTCAGTAACGAATACTTTTATATGGTTAATCCCTGTTGTGACGTCACCAAAACTACCGTTAATGAGATCAAAATGTTATCCAAGATGGCTGACATCTCGTTACTTCAAGTGAAAATATTTCAAGAACTAAGCAAGATATGAAGAATCGGTAAAAGAAGTTATTAAATAGTTTCAAAAGTTCTTTCAAATGAGAAAATAAAAAAATATATTGCCATTTCCCTTTAAAGCATATATAATTCTTTTATTTGCAAAGATTGAAATGGTGAACAAAACAAGTTTTGATTTTTTTTCACATTGCTAGCAGCAGCCTTGTCTTTGGCATTTGTCATACTATTGTATAAAATTATGCAATTAACCAGAAAGTTATATTGCTTCCATACATTAGGATACTTTCTCAAACACCATAAAGGCAGATTGCTATTGGGACAAGTGGTTAATAGCATGAAGCATGAAGATCTCTGAAAGAGGCAAACCTTGTCTGCCTGCATTAATTAATTTTGAGCCTTTCTATGCATGACAGGATTTAGTGGAAGATGCAAATGTTCAAGACTATCTTTGGAGAAAACACCGAATGATATAGCTAATGGTGAAATTTAAACGGGTTGCTGACTGTAATGAGTGCCGCTGAGAAGGGCGGGAGGGGTGGCATTTCAAATGGAATGGGAGTGATGGGACCCCAGATTAAAGAACCCCCCTTCAATTTTCTTGATACAAGATTGCTTAACCAATAATATAAATCCTAGCTGTGTCAGTGCTGGATAATATGCAATACAGTGCAGTATACTGTAAAACACTGCTTCTCCTGTTTTACAATTATGACATAGGGGCCCCTGGGAAAGTTTTGCCCTGTACCCCGCACAACCTCTCGGTGTCCCTGACTGTTACCACAACCTAGTTCAACAATCAGATTGAAATCTTCATAGTTGGGGCTATTGTAGACATTTTGTACCCATACCAACACAAGAAGGAAGAAGTGTTTTTCTAAATGAAGGTGATATATATTGCATATTAAGAGGACAAGACTGAACTCTATCAAGAACCCCCGTTAAGAACTCTGTAATTCGAACAAAATGTTTTTGGCATAAATGTTCTGAAACAATAATTGCCAGGCATTATCGAGAAGATGTTCTTGTTTTAAATAACGTCATAAACATGCAAAACAGCTGGCATGCAGTATACAAACAGGATGCTACATGACAATGTCATAGCTACTGTGCCTTACCATAAATCCTCTAGCTATTGATATGGGGGGGGAGGGGGGGTTAATATATTTCTGTTTTAGAAAGGTGGGTGGGGGACTTACATCTATTTTAGAGGGGGAAAAATAGGGGATTTATGGCATATGGAATAATAGAAGGGGGTTGTGCCTAGTCAACATTTGATTTCACTATTGTATGCTGCATACACTTCTTACTAGAATATCATGCAGTGCCTTTATTAAGGAATTTTCACTGGGAGGGGGGGCAAAACAGGATAAAAGGCAGAACGAAAAATATGAGCCGTCGAGGTTTGGAGAACGCGCGACTGGCGCGAGTCTGAAGAGAGATTTTGTAAAACTTTAATTTATTAACTTCAGCTGTATTTTACTTTAAACAATAACTTCAACTCTTTGTAGCTATAATCGTACAGC